ATGATGGGACTGAATGAGGACATTGTGACATTGATAAGGAGATCGAGATTGCGGTGGTATGGACATGTGTTGAGAAGGGATGAAAGGGTCGGGATTAGGCGAGCGTTGGAGTTCGAGGTTGAAGGAGTGGTAGGAAGGGGTCGTCCGCGATTGGGATGGAGAGAGCAGGTGGAGAAGGACAGGGTGAAAGCGGGGTTGCGTGATATTGAGACGAGTGACAGATGTGGATGGCGTCGAGGGGTATTTCGGTTTCATCATAGGTAGCCAAACGGCAACCCCCGATCTCGGGGAAAATGCCGTCTAAACGTGTGTTGTTTTGTTTGTTGTATTTCTTTTTTTAGATGAGCCATCATACATATAAACCAATTTAACAATTGATGTTGATAGAACTGCAACATTTTCTAAAGATGCAACATTTTCTATCTGAAGTTTGAATATTACACATGAATGAATGTATGCATCAAAGTACATGTGGTAGATTCATGATAAACTTTGTGAAATAAATACCTTGAACATGTACTTACATATGTGTATCTTCTTATTGGCATAAAATAAAAAAAAATATTAACTGTAGCGCATGCAATCAGAAATATATCAATCTAAGTAAATTTTATATTTAAACAAACATACTGGTCCATTAGTTGAGTTTGTCTCTATCATTAATGGTGATTGCATTTCAGATAGAGTATCTGCTTGATCATTTGATAAAAGCTGAAAATGATAAATATTCAATATATTTGATTGTGTGATTTGCAAGAACAAATATCTTATAACAATATACTTGATTATGTGATTTGCCAGACGGAACAAATATCTAATTAATATACTAACTATAATGTGTTAGTGTCTTGCAATTAATTAATCAGGGATTCATTTTTCATGATGCATTGATAATAAGTAATTTCTTTAATTTAATCTTAATGTTAATTTAATTTTTCAAACTTTTTAAATTAGAAATTTTTTATTAGTTACAAAAAGAACAAAACCTTTGAAAATACTGCAGGAACTGAATTATTTCTAAGCAGCATTTTAGAACCTACTTTGTAAAAGCATTCTTGTAAAAAATACCTGCTGCAGATGAAAATATTTTTTTTTTACTACAAAAATGTGTAATATGATTTTTTTATATTCCCTTGCCACTGTAATCTTTGACCGCCATCTTTTGGTAGTCTGTTTGGTTTTGTTATTGAAAAAAGTAAAGTTACGCCGATATCTTTATAAGACCAATGACATTGGCGCATGGTGTATATAAAATAATTAAACAAATAAGAAAAAAAATTATTTAAATGTAATGTTATTAAAAATTAAAACTTCGTGTAGACGATTAAATTCAAAAAAGTAAAACAATGAAATGTCAACTACGACGAAGAAATGTTTACACTCCAAATTATGTTCTCTTTATTCCATAGAACTAAAGAAAATTATTAGCCAGGAAATAATTCTTATGCCATATCCACTATATGACTATATCCATGTGTTTGAGCGCTGTTGAACGTCACGGAAATAGCGCTGTAAAAATAAACTGAAGTTTACGTTTACGTATACATTTTAAATAGGGGACCGAAAACTCCGGGTCCGAAATTTCCGGGACCGAAAATTTCTATATAATAAAATCTGGGACCGAAAATTCCGGGACCGAAAACTCCGAAACCAAAAAATCCGGGACAGAAAATTTCTATATAGTGAAATCTGGGACCAGTGAAATCTGGAACCAAAAACTCCGGAACCAATAATTACGAATACCTTAAAATTCTACATTATTTACCTCTTCCACTTTTTGATTTTATTCTCTTTCTTTTTCTCTCTCTCTTTTTCTCTCTCTTCTTTCTTTCTCTTTCTTACTATTATTTCTTCTTACTCTCTCTCTTTCTCTCTTTCTCTCTCTCTCTCTCTTTCTCTTATTTTCTTCTTTATTATTTCTTCATTCGATCACCTTCTCTCGTTCTATCATCGTTTTTTATTTTCTCTTATTACTTTTTAAATGAAAGTATGAAAACTTATTTACATGTGAACAAAAAAACGAATGAACAATGAACGAACGAATAAATGAATAAATAAAAGATTAAACAAATAAATAAACAAATGAATGAATGAAAGACCGACAAAGCCAACGAATAAATGAATACAGACCACTGGCGAAAGTTAAACAACCCTTCAACTAGCCTCAATGTGAATTCATAGGCCAGCGAGATAATGACGTCAACAACGTGTACTAACAACATCAACGTTAATATTAACAATAATAATTATTATACTAATAATAATAAAATTAACAGTTATAATTATTATTATAATGAAAGGTTCACTTACGAAATAACCCGGTTTACACTCTGATAGGGGGCTTGGTGTTGGGCTAGATGAGGACCATGGATAGCTAGCCGCCTTCACAGGGAAACGGCATTTTTGCCCCGGGTCATTTATTATTATTATTAACAGTATAATCATATTCTTAATGTTATCGTTATCATGAGCCTCGATGGCGAACATGTAGGCGATCAGTGTGGCTAGCCATAAATTCATCACTTCTTTCAAAAACTTTGGAATAGTGTAGCAGAGAAGATATTTGATTGTGTTTACAACGATTTATCTTCCCATTCATTCATCTCTATCCGTCCATTCTTTCATCCATTCATTCACACATTTATTCAATCATTTTTTCATTCATTCAATCAATCAATCATCAATCCATCCACTAATCAATCAATCAAACGGCCGACCATCCAGTGCAATCGTTCAACTCCGAGATCAGCCGCTATAATCGGAGTAGGCTTGAAGAACGTCATTTTTGTCGATTGTAATGAAAGGTGGTTGACGTCATTATCATTATCATTATCCTCGCCATCATCATCATTATCGTCTTCATCGTCATCGCCATTATCATCACAATCGTGATCATCATCTTGAGGTCAAATGTCAGTGACTTACCTTGAACAAAAGGTCGCTAGTTCACTGGCAGCCGGAAATTCACAATTCTTTGTATTGACCAATTCTGGTTCCGCCATGTTGGGATTTTTTGACTCGCTAACGGAAATAGCTGACGTCTGCTATAAATACAATCTTTGGTTACATGTTGACGTAAGTTGTTGTTGTTGTTTTGAATGAGTTGCAGTATAGTTAGTGGCTATTACTATTAATATTACTATTGTTGATGTTGTTGTGTTTATCGTCATCATCATCATGACCATGAAAATCTTCATCATCATCATGACCACCGTAATTGTCATCGTCATATCATCATCACCATCGGCCTCACATGGAGGTAGCATTTTGTTACCATCTTGTTTTCAGCCAATCTAATTCATTTGGTCAGAGGAATAAGAAGGTTGGTAGCGATGATGATGATATTTATTATTATTACGAAAATGACGATGATAAAAACGACGATGACGTCATCCAATCATCATCATCATGCTCGAGGTAGATGTTCGAGATCCGGACAACTTCAGACCCATAACCCTGCAACCAACTCTCAACAAAATATTTTCTTCACTCATCAACAACAGATTATACAACTTTCTCGAATCAAACAACATGATCAACAAAAACATACAAAAAGGATTCTACCCAAAAGTGAAGGCCTGACTGAACACACACAGCTCTTAACTCACATGATCAACGATGCAAAAAGGCACCAGAGAACAATGATCATCACACTCCTGGATCTGCGAAATGCCTTCGGTGAAGTCAGTCACGGTCTAAACTCATCAATCATAGATCACCATCATATCCAGATTTGCATATAGTTAACCGACATGAAACTAAGAATCGACATATGCTCAATATTCGGAATGAGAAAAAAATGGTGCGTATGAGCAATTTTTTCCGATGCTGACAATCGATAACAAGCCGATTTCTCATATAGGAGGGCATTTTGTTTATCTGGGTAAGATCTACGCTTTTGAAGGCAACAACAATAAGGCCAAAGACCAGTTGCTTGGTAAAGTGAAAAATCTGTTGTCTGTGATAAGCAATATGAACACGACGGCAAACTACTCAATTATCTAAAGCAAACGGCAGTGAAGAACTGAAATGTTTGAACGGCTGATTTCACTCCGTTGTCAGGGTACAATAATCAAGGCGATTGGTAGTCATATTCTTGCGGCTCGGATTGCTTACTGGTCGCGATACATTGCCATTCTTCCAGAGGTTCTGTTCAGATTTTTCAGAAAAAGTTTGATACGGCAACTGCCGACGCAAATCTGTCCAGATGGGGAAAGTTTTCCACTGCCCAGTGTCTACTATGCAGCAATCAACAAACTGACAAACATGTACTCTCCAACTGCAGCTCAACATCGGCGTTAAAGAGGTACACAACAAGACACAACAAAATTCTAAAGATAATTCTCAAAAAAAATGAAATCATGCGCCAACCCAAAAGTCCCCATTTTTGCAGATCTAGAGACAAATGAATTTCAACCACAATCTCGCTTGTTCAAGACGAGACGAAACAATTGAAAAACCGGAATTAACAGTCTGTCACGAGACTAACTTTCTAAATTCTAAAGAATATAAACTAACTAAATAATCTGGTAGCTTGCAAAATAACTTGATTGACAACTTTAAACATTTAAAAATAAATACATTCGAAATATCAACTCTAGGTTTATTTAAAATATATAATTTATCTCTTGTAAACATTGTTTGGTCTGATCATTTCTGCAATAGCCTCATTAAATCTGCAATATTGTCGTCGTACTCTATCTACTGCGGTAGAAATGTGACTTGAATCAATTTTGAAAGTAATTAAATCTAGTTGAACTCATTCTTTCTGAATGAAGAGCATCGTAGACTAAAATTAATACTTTACTTGATATTTAATTTTATTTTTTACTCATATTCTATTCTACTTGTCAATTTGTTTTATTTTATTGTCATTTCCATTGTTTTATAGCTGAATAATACATTGATTATTATTATTATTACGAAAATGACGATGACGCCGACGATGACGTCAGAGCTCAAGTGGAACTGCCACATGAGAATGAACTGTACCCTGCAATGCTACGCTATTTTCATTAGAAAAAAAGTGAGCAAGAGAGTGAATGAATGAACGAATGAAAGAACGAACGAACGAACAAACGAATGAATGAATGAACGAACGAATGAATGAATGAACGACCGACCGACCGACCGACCGAACGAATGAATGAATGAATGTACATATTGGTGGATGATTGAATAAATGACGAAGGAAGGAACAAAAATCCAAGACCTATTAGAAGCGTGCAACAGCGCCTGTGCCACTTACCTCTTTCAACAGGACAAACACCATGGCTTACGATGTGACTTGCGACACTGGCCATAGATCAGTCATTTATGTATCAAAATTTCTGTGTTATTATTTTGTATTATATTTTTTTATTTTTTTTATTTTGGTTGGCTATGTCTTTGTTTGTATTTGTGAAATTGTTTCCATTTTTATGCCGATATATGCTTCTCGTTTTGCCTTTCTTTATTTTTTTTCTTTCATTAGTTTGTATTTATTTAATTGTTTCAATCAAGGTGATACGAGAGTATTATATATTTTAACAATATGTATTTTATATATACATATATATTTTAATAATTATATTTACGACAGACTCATTCCTAATTATATATTTATATATATATATTGAATATTTTTGCCCACTTAGCATTAATTAACTTTTTAAAAATGCACTCAACGATATGGAATTGCTGTAAATCGTATTTATTGAGAATTGAGAACTAGTGACATAATTTAGCTGGCTAACATTGTTGTTTCGGTGTAAAAGCCATCTTCAGAGCCTTGTGTGAGATTCAAATATTAAAATAAATGGAAATGTAAACCATATAAATAAAATAAAATACAATAGTACCTAAAATGTTATGTGTTGTGATTTAAAACAGGCGAAATGAAACATAGTAATATATGAATGAATAATTTGAAGAGTTAAATTAAAAGCAAAATGTTACCTTGTAATGCAGATGAAATTGAATAATTAGTGAAATAAGTAATAGTTTTATTTTAAAATAAATAAATAGATACATATTTACGTAAAACAACTAGAGTAATTTAAAATGATACGGCCGTAAGTAAAAATTTTTGCAAGATAAAACGAGTGTATGTGTGGAATTTGCCCGAGGTGTGCAGATTTATTGTATTTGGTTGAACGGACAGTATGAATGTATATTATCGAAATAGATGTAAGTGTTGTACATGTGTAGGAAAGTATCCAATGAATATGAAAGTATGCATGATACATGTGTATACACATGTGTATAAACAGTATTAATATTAAATATCAAATAGTGGGGCCAGCGACGTAACGACTTATATTTTTTAATTTCATGTTTTGAATTTTATTTCATACATGTTAATTTTTAATTTTTTGACTTATAAATTAGATTCAACATATATCTTGATTCATTTCACGTTTTGTCTTAAAATTTTTTTTTACTTCATGCTTTGCCTTTTATATTCACAATTCGTTTATTTGCCAAACCAGTAAAGATTTGAACTGGAGACCTGGATGATTAAAAATCTTGTATCGGCCACCAGTTCATAGTATATGAAAAACTGGAAAATAATATATCATATATAATATATATAGTTCCGATTATGTCAAAAATTATTACAGAAAACCCTTATATTGAAATTTAATAAAAAAAAAATAACACAAAAATAAAAGGAAAAGAAAAGAACAACTCTTGATTTAATATATAAACATAAGATAACACCAAAATAATAACACTTAATATCTTGCAGCAGAAAAAAAATTGCATGAATTTATCAAATTTATGACCGAATTTTTAAAATGATAAAAAATGCTTGATTCTTTAATTATATTAGGTAATGTGTTCCACAGACGCATTGAAACAATTAGAACAGAATTATTAATAAAAAACTGTTCTTGGTTTGGAAAAATAAAAGGTTGGATTGTTTCTAAAATAATTTTGTCTAGAATTAATAAAACTTTTAAAATATTTACTTATATAAGGACAGTAATTTAATTTATAAATTAAAAAAAACATAATGCATATAATATATGTAAATCTTCTACAGGCCAAATGTTTGAGGATTTATAATAAATAGTTATAAAAAAATTCTAACAAAAAATTTTTGATTCAATTTTGAAATATGCAAATGAGATTTTGGAAAAATATAGTTAGAAAATGAAAGGTTAATTAGATGCACAAGAAGAGTAATAATGTTTGTCATCTTCTTATGATTATTTAATAAAATCATTGACAATAGTACAAAAAAGATATCTTAGGGTTTGTTTTTTCTGAAACACCTTGATCATATCACTGGCAATATATTCCGATAATAGTATTGAACAGCTTAATAGGTATCTAACCTTGTGTTTCGTTTATAGAGTGTTATATGATGCTGAGTTCAACATGTTAGGCTCATTTGAAACGGTGTCAACAAACACTAGGCAAAAAGGTTTGTTGATACCAATGACTTGCAGAACTGATTTAAATGCCAGATACTGGGCGGTAAGAGGAATTCCTTGGAACTAGGTAAGAAAAAATTTTCCGGATATAATGAATTTAAAAAATATATAGAAAACTTATGCAGATCAATGTAGGTATGATGCTTTCTTTGTTTAATTTTGTCGTGTTTTATTTAATTGTTTTACATCTGATTGAATATTTAACCTCCTTACTTGAAGTTATAAAAATGGATTTATTGGGTGTATTTATATTTATCGATATACTAAAAATGTTTATATTTGTATCTCATATTGTTGCACAACTAGTTTAGGTGGTCAGCACATGCTTTCGTATATATGATCTCCTGTTTCTTTTCGAATAAAATTCTGGAAAAAAAATTGTCTTCTTTAGTAAGGAGTTAGAAATTTGGTCATGGCCAGAATTATTAGAATTATTTAAATTATTTATGATATCCATTACATCAAAATTATTACAATCGAAAAGACAAATGAATTAAATACATATGGATTCATTTATTTATTATAATTATAAGTTAAATGCCATGTTTTACATGAAGAATTTATATCACACAAAAATAAAAAATGCTTATTAAATCTTCAACCTAAAAAGAGTAATTTAAATTTGACCGAGATAATCCCAGGCATGATTTTAATAAGTTTTAGGTTTGTTTGCCATTTTTTATGCTTGTTAAATTGATTATGAAAGTATGACATTTCTGTAGTTTTACAAAGATGAGTAAATAAATTTTTATATTTAATGTATTTTAAATGATCAGAGAGAGAACAAGTTTTTATAGACTTTTTGTAGAAATTATTTTTAGTTCTAGAAGATTTTAACAAACTGGTAGTGATCCATGGCGGCTTGAAAATTTGACGTGATATAATAAACGGACAATATCCTGCGATAGCATTTTTAAAAAGTATTCAAAGGCAGTATTAGTATCAGTAATATTTAAGAGAAAGGTCCAGTCAAAATTATGTAGAAAGCAGTTTAACTTAGACATATTATGTGGTTTGAGGTTACGCGATAATTAGACTTACAAGTTGTTTTAGAAGAATTATTAAGTTGAAAGGAAGTAAAAATAGGGAAATGGTCAGAAATATCGGAGCATAAAACGGCAGATTTGTGTGATTATGATTATCAGTAAAAGGTTATCAATAACAGAAGATTACGATGACGTAAAACGGGCAGGCAAACATATTAATGGATTTTAATTATGCGAAAACATTAAATTTTTAAAAGCATAACTACAGTTTATTTTAGAGAGATCAATATTAAAATTTCCTAGTATATATACATGCTTTTTATAAGAAAAATTCAATTTTGAAAACAAATTATTCAAGTCGTCAAGAAATAATTGCAAATTAGAATTAGGTGGTCTATAAATTACGTAAATAAAATAGTTTAAATCATAAGCTACACAATTTCCAACAACCAGTGATTCAAAGTACAAAGATCTAATATCGATGTCATCTCGAGTATTATATCTTAAAGACTGATGGATAAAAATGCCAACGCCGCCACCAACTCTATTGCTACGATTTTTGCATATAAAATTAAAGTTAGGTAAATTAATTAAATGATAATTATAATCAGTTAACCATGATTCAGTAACACAAATGATTGAAAAAATATTGTCACATAAATATAATAGGCTATTAAGTTCAGTCATTTTGTTTATCAAACTTCTTGCATTGAAATGTAACATAAAAAATGAGTTTACATTATTTACATAATTTATAATTTTTTCAGGTAAAAGAAAAGACGATTGATTATTTGAAGAATTAAAAAAATAAACATCTGGATCATGAAATTTATTATCCACTTCTTCATTGTCGTCAAAAGGTTCAACTTCAGTGAATGATGCTGCTTGACAAAGATCAGCAGTGATGTTAAAATCATTTAACGACGCTATGGTTGAGGATCGATTTTCCTTTCGTGTGGTTGTCATCAGATATTTTCATATACGAGAAGTCCCATTCGCGAAGGAACGTGTATCTCGGCCAAATATCTGGATTAATTAACTTAGGTTGCTCCGATAAAGGAAGAATGATTATAAATGCTGTGGATTCTTTTTTTGATTTTTCTGCTGTTGATGCATCATCAGATGCTCTTTTACGGAAAAACGGGAATCAATTATTGAAGTTTATACCTTTTGTCTGTAAGTGATTTTCAATGACTTCCTTACTACACGGACCCACATTTCCAACGTAGTAGGTAGATTTTTTCAATAATTTTAGATGATTTTAGATTACAGTTAATGCCTGTTCCAAAAAATGTAGTTTGCATTTTGTGACCTTTATCATTGCTAGTATTCAAATTAACATTGGTTAACTACGAATTAATTAATTTTTATATATATTTTATTGACGAGTTGGAAGCCATCCGTTGAATCACATCGTCCGGAGATTGGTTCCCGGGTTTAACTCTATTAGCCCACGGTACACTTTTTAGAAAAATGATTGCTAAATTGGCATTAACGTTTTTTATACTTTCATTAGCTTTGTTTATTAATTCCGTGTGTATCGTACAAGGCACAGTTATGTACTCGGCAGCTACGTTGCTTGACTTAGCAGAATTTAAATTTATCTGGCCATGTGCACGGTCTGATACAATGGAGTTTATAGCCGAAAGCTTTCTATAACTATTGTTATTCAATGCTTCCATAACACCTGAGTATTGTGCATTCAACATGGCTTCAATGTCATTTTTTATTGAATCAAAGTTACAGCTTAACCAATTTGTAACGTTCGGAATTCTTGATAAATTCGCATAAACAAATAAGAGCAATTTTCCAACAAACCACTTGATTTCAGTAGTTTCAAAATTGCAATACATTCAATTATTTTCTCTTTTTTAGCGTTAGCTTTGAATTGAAATTTA